CATCAGCTGGGCGTACTTCGGAAAAACAGGGACCCACACAGCCTGCATCATGAGCATCAGCTGGGCATACTTTGGGCGAAAGCGCCCCGCACAACCATCAGCTGGGCGTACTTCGGAAAAACAGGGACCCACACAGCCTGCATCATGAGCATCAGCTGGGCATACTTTGGGCGAAAGCGCCCCGCACAGCCATCAGCTGGGCGTACTTCGGGAAAACAGGGCCCCACACAGCCTGCATCATGAGCATCAGCTGGCTGGGCCTACCTTGGGCGAAAGAGCCTCGCACAGCCAGCATCACGAGCATCAGCTGGGGGTTACTTCGGGAAATAAGGCCCCACACAGCCTGAGCATCAGCTGGGCCGACCTCTGGTGAAAGAGCCCCGCACAGCCTGCATCATGAGCATCTGCTGGGCGTACTTCGGGAAATTGGGCCCCACACAGCCAGCATCATGAGCATCAGCTGGGCGTACTTCGGGAAAACAAGGCCCCACACAGCCTGCATCATGAGCATCAGCTGGGCGTACTTCGGGAAAACAGGGACCCACACAGCCTGCATCATGAGCATCAGCTGGGCCTATTTCAGGAAATAGGGCCCCACACAGCCAGCATCATGAGCATCAGCTGGGCGTACTTCGGGAAAACAAAGCCCCACACAGCCTGCATCATGAGCATCAGCTGGGCGTACTTCGGGAAGACAGGGACCCACACAGCCAGCATCATGAGCATCAGCTGGGCGTACTTCGGGAAATAGGGCCCCACACAGCCAGCATCATCAGCATCATCTGGGCGTCCTTTGGGCGAAAGGGCCACCCACACAGCCAGCATCATGAGCTTCAGCTGGGCGTACTTCGGGAAATAGGGCCCCACACAGCCTGTGTCATGAGCATCATCTGGGCGTGCTTTGGGCGAAAGAGCCTCGCACAACCAGCATCATGAGCATCAGCTGGGCGTACTTCGGGAAAACAGGGCCCAAACAGCCTGCATCATGAGCATCAGCTGAGCATACTTCGGGAAAACAAGGCCCCACACGGCCTGCATCATGAGCATCAGCTGGGCATACTTTGAGCGAAAGAGCCGCCCCGCACAACCTGCATCATGAGCATCTGCTGGGCCTATTTCAGGAAATAGGGCCCCACACAGCCAGCATCATGAGCATCAGCTGGGCGTACTTCGGGAAAACAGGGCTCCACACAGCCAGCATCATGAGCATCAGCTGGGCGTACTTCGGGAAATAGGGCCCCACACAGCCAGCATCATCAGCATCATCTGGGCGTGCTTTGGGCGAAAGGGCCACCCAACAGCCAGCATCATGAGCTTCAGCTGGGCCTACTTTGGGCGAAAGGGCCTCGCACAGCCTGCATCATGAGCATCAGCCGGGCCTACTTCCGGAAAAAGGGCCACGCACAGCCAACATCATGGGCATCAGCTGGGCGGGCTTCGGGAAAACAAGGCCCCACACAGCCAGCATCACAAGCATCGGCTGCTACTTTGGGTCAAAGGGCCACCACAGCAGCATCATGAGCAGCAGCTGGGCCTACTTTGGGCAAAAGGGCCCTGCAGCCAGCATCACAAAGCCAGCATCATGAGCATCAGCTGTGCCTACTTTGCGGAGTAAAAACCTACTTGCGTACCAGTCAATACCATGACGGTTGCAATTGAAGACCTAGCCTTCCAACATGGAACCCCAAAAAAGCCCTAAGACCTGCAGGGGGCACAGTCCTTCTAAGGGCATGCTGTGTGGGGCCCTATGTTACTTTGCTGGGCTGCTGTTAGGGAACTAAATTTAGGTTTCTGTATTGGAGAAATCATGACAATTACTATATACACCCATTATGGTAAATTAACTGAAATTCCTCAACAGCAACCCAGTTTGGGGGGGGCCCACCAACTTTTCACATCCCAAAGGCTTGCGCGATTCGCCGATGCGGTGTATTTCTCGCCGCAACGGCCGCAAACCTTGAGCCCGAGTGTAGAGTCGGCCAAATGACCCTGGCGGTTGTCCGCGAAAAGAAGCTTGTTGTGGGGCTTCTGCTTTGTAGGTGTCCTTAGTCTTGGCCGCGCTGTCTGGCAGACTGGTAAGTTTGATCGAAAGTTCTAGGGTTGTAGGGACATTGTAGAGAGCTGAACGCGCTGGAGGACTCAATGGGCATTGTCGTGCGCCACATCAGGCACTCTAGCGCTACGTGTTTCTTGCAAGGGGCTCGTGTAATGATTCCGGTGTCTAGTTATTAGCGCCATTCACGAGGTTGTAGGGTTTGAGTTTGGGCAGTCCTCGTGAAAGGCTGGCCTAGTGTGCATCTGAAATGGAACCTTATCTTTGTCAGAAGAATCCCAAAACGCGAAGTCCTAGACCCTGCACTTCGGAACGTTACCCCTACACCATAACTCTTCAATGGGCTTAAAACCATCCCTCAAGCCTGGAACCTGGATCTTACACCTATCAAGCCTGAGGGAATTCTTGAGTGCTACCCTATGTCTCTACACCTCCCTTGATCCTATACAGCTTTGGCGCGTTGGGAAGGCTTTTACCGCTGATCAAAGAGGTGGGGCCGCGAAGCATATTCATGCTTAGTTTGCATGCCATATTTTCTAGTGATCCTGCGAAGACCCCGCTTCCTGATGCTTAAGTGAGACTGGGGGAGAAACCAGATGTAGTCCGGTATACCAACTCACCTGCTCCCCATTGAGCCCGCTTAAACCCCCCAAACTCCAAATCCTACACGCCACTGTAGTCTTCTTGGGATTCCCCCTTAAGCAGGAGTCAGCCTAAACCCTGAAGCCTACTTGGAGGGTCAGGGGGGCTGAGTAAGTAGAATAATAATGGAGATAACTAGATTTACTATATGGTTGTTAGGGGTTAGGAACCTAGCTACTAAGTCCCCCTGGCCCTCCAAGTAAACCAGCTTAATGATTAGGTATATATATGGGTAATATTTGGGATTATATTGGGATAATGGAAAAGAACATGGAAACTAATATAGTTTATAGGGGTTATATTGGGGTTATACAGTCCCCTTAAACCCTAAGCCCAAAAAAGCCCCAAGCTAAGCGTCGGCACAGTCGGCTTGGCCTCTTCGAAGCTGTCGCTACGGGGCTTTTGCTTTCGCTTGCCTAAGCCCAACTAAGGTCGGGTTTAGGGCTTAGGGGCCCGCATGATGATATAGGCATGATGTAGGGATCATACAAGGCTATATTGGGTTGTATAGGGATTACATGGGGACTATGGATGTAACGGAAACAAATGGAAAGGTAGTGGAACTTTGAATGGACACTGGGCTTACACAGGGGCTTATAGTCATTGCCATGCAGGGAAGCCACAAACATTGGCAATTAGTTATGTTACATAACTAATTGCCAGTATCATCGTGAGGTCTTTTCCAGGTTTCCTGTAGCATAATTATACTACAAGGAACTGAGGACTGTCGGGTTGGTGATTGTTCAGGCCTCTGCATTTGTTTTGCTTTGGTGCTTGAGGCTTTAGATTAGTTTTGGGGTTTAAGAGTTTAGGCTTTTAGGTTTGGGAAGGTTCATGGGTGGTTAAAACATTATGGTCTTATAGCTCTCTTTTTTCCTCCAGTACTCAAAAAATTGGCGACATACCACAGGGACAGGAACCTCAAAATTCGCCTGAAATGAGTTCCAGTTTCGCCACTCCTCGGCGCGACGCGCGCGGCGCGTGAAGACCTGGAGGCAGGCAACTGTAGGGACTTGCTGCAACAATGCCTACATTGAGCCCTGAAGTCTGTAAATGTGACCTACATTGGGCTATTAGGACTCCTATGGTTAGGGTCTAGATTTCTCCAAGGCGTAGGGTTAAGGGTCTTACGGCTTAGGATTGCAATGGACTGGGGAGCTCCCCTCGAGAGGCTCCCTCTTTACAAAGGCTGGGTAGAGCCCGGGAGGACGTTATCCAATGTTAGAAGGGGGGATATGTAAAATAACCCAACACAATGATAATTTAAGAAGGGAGGATACGCAACACAGCTCACAATACTATGATGGAACCCTAGTTCTCAGCCGGGCAACTTGTTTATAGCTTCCAGCAAAGTCCTCCGCGCAAAGCCTGAGGAACCTCAGTTTCTCTCGGCATGTGTTGGGGCCAAATCCACAAAAAACTGAGGGTTTTTTTCGTTCTGGGTGCCTAAATCCTAAACCCTACTGAGTAATATATCCCAAAGAGCACAATCCTCAGATTAATTAGGGGCCTCAAAAGTGAACCCTGCACTGTTCAGAGCCCCCCAGCTAAACCATGGCTCGGCGTTTCCTGTTACTATCCTTGCCACCCTGTGCTTTGGATTTCCAGTGAGATGCAGTTTCGCTCTTGCTACTCCCTGGACCCACCAACTACCCTCTATTCAGGCATAAGTACTCTGTAATAGGGGCCCTGTAACCCCAATTAAGGGCAATCGGAGGCTGATGGTGTAGAACCATCAGCGTTGATTCTACTGTTACAATGATAGCTGTGATTGCTGTAGTACGTTGCTGATGCAACTCTACCACTGCATGGCTTCGGCACGTATTACAAGTTCTAGCTTCCCTTTCCTTTCCTGTCAGATGTTGCCCCTACTTTGAGAAGCTCGCACGCGATCGTCCTCATCATCCTGAACCTCAAACCCAAAACTGCGTTGCTGTTCAGGAACTCTATATTGCGGAAACCATATTACTAACTATATATATATGTATGCATATACCCATTATGGTAACTTAATCTAAATTCCGTAGCAGCAACCCAGAAAATCCCCACATCTTATAGTCCGCCTTAAGTAGAGGGAATATGGGGTATATGGGGATCTCATTATAATATACCCAAAGCCAGATTCTATCTACTTAAGGGGACTAAAAACAACCAAGACCCAAAGCCCAAAACTTTAAACCCTAAACCCTAAACCCCAAACCCTAAAACCCTTAATCAGTCCACAGCCAAGCCACAAAGAAGGGAAGAAGGTCTCCAAGACCGCTCCCCAGGCGGCTTCTGTGGTCCTTGAAGCTGAACATGCCAGAGCCTGCGCTGTGAGTTAAGGGGTTTTGGGTTTGGGTTTAGAGTTTGGGGTTTCGGGTTTAGGGTTTGGAGTTTCGGGTTTAGGGTTTGGAGTTTCGGGTTTGGGGTTTGGGGTTTAGGGTTTGGGGTTTAGGGAACTATTTGAGGGCTTTCGAAGAATTAAGGTTCCTTTCTGGGGGTCCCCATAATGCGGAAGAGTTTGGAGCATAAAAGGGTATGCCTTTCTTGTAACAAGTTGATGAGAACAGAGTTTGGGTGGGTGTATGATGATATACATCCTTCAATCCTAAACCCGAGGAGAAAGGCAAAGGAATAATATTGGTCATATTTCAGGCTTCTACAGGGTTTCCCTTGAAGCTCATGGGTTGTCATGAGTATGGGAGGATCCAATAACAGCCAGATCCGCTTTTCAAGGCCATAACAACAATGCTGTGCTCTTCATCTTGTCCGGGCCAGTAGTTCTGAATCGTAAACGTGTAGCTACGAGCTGAGTTCGGGCACTAGTACTTGAAACTTCATAGACAGCTACCCGTAAACCTTTCTGTATAGTACAAACCTGTTCGTGCGGTTTTGAGCTCAGGCTTGTCGGGTTTAGGCATGGAAGGAAAGTCTTCATTTGCCGGGGATACTATTAGCCAACGCTGCATGGGCAACTGCACGGGCAACTATGAAGGTTTGCAGAAAGATGGGGGCCCAATATAAGCCCCAATGTGCAGAAACACACGTCGGAGACTCCATGAAGGTCCTAAATCCTAGGCGCAAAAATACACACATCTGAACGCCTCCAGGCCATACACGGCTGAAGGGTCGCCTGCAGCGACCTGAATTTTCAGAATGACATTCTCTGGGAGGTCCACCAACGATACCTTGTGACCGGCGGTCTTCGCCATAGCTTGGTCTTTCAAAGGAGGTATAGCCCCTGTCTAGGCTCCTGCTTCTTCGAGCTGACTTTGGTGGTCTGAGCCTAGAAGGGCGGAAGATGCAGCATTGCAAAGCATGCCTTAATCACCTGTGCCTCTTAAAGTCTGCATAATGTCACCATGCAAGGCATGTTAGGAAACTCCGAGGCTCCTACCTGTGGCACTATCCCCATTCACTTCAACCCTAGGGAGAGCAAGTCTATTGATCAAATGCCAAGGCGGACGGGCGGCGCCTAGGATCACGTATGGTCATGCCTGCACCTGAAAACAACACCAATCTTCCCCACAGTAACCTTGTGGCCATTTTGACAATTGCGTGCCACGGGCGGACCCAGACGTTCGGCACCTCCAACATAGACAAAAGTAAACGGCCCACTTCTTGGGTTCTCTGTTAAAAAGAAGCGGGTACCACCCCCTTGCGACATCCACACTAGCAGACGCGAAAGAAGCCCGCTACCATATCCGCAGCTTGTTACAGATTGAAATTCCATGTGCCAGGACCCTCCTTCTACCCTTAAATAGGGGCATATGGTCCCTAATTGCAGGTATCTAGCGCAGAAAGAAGGTAGAATGAGGATCTTAGTCTAATCCCTTCCTTAGACCCTGCCTGCTCGCGGCCCCGTGCGCTACGCGGGCGGCGGCGGCGGAGGTACACATGTCTCTAGGATCAGAGCGTCCACGCGCGGAAGCCTCAGGACATTCACTAAAGGTCCATCAATGCTACCATTGCTGGCGACTACTTCTGCGAATTACTAGCAAATCAGCCTTTTAAGCGCTTTCACAATCACAGGGGCTGGGAGGAAGAGGGAGGGGGAAGGGGGAGGGACAGGGAGGGAGGGAGGGAGGGAGGGAGGGAGGGAGGAGGGTCAGGCGTAGTATCCACAGCACTCTCTCAGGGTAACCGCCTGCAAAGTCAAGTCGCATACTGTAGCCCTTAAAAAATCACTTTCAGGCTTATCTTCATCCCCTTCTTGAGGGGCTTGTAGCTGGCTGGCCTTGATAATTTTCCCGACTCTTATCCCGCATTTGTCCCTCCCCTGCCTTAAACCATCAAACCGAAACTAAACTGGAACTCCTTAACCCCCAACTCCATTCCCTAAACACATAGCTGGACAATCCCTACCTGTTTCTGAGACTGCAGCCAAAGCCTGGCACATTTCACCAGAAGCTCACCGTCAATGGGCGACGTGCGCATGTCCTTCCATAGCTTGAAGCCACGTCATTCTCATGATTTTCAGTATGTTCATGTTTTACTGCATTTTGTAGTAGTGTCATATGTTTTCAACTGTTCACATTTTGTCATGTTCTGTCTCATGATTTTCATCATGCTTCATCATCTTCATCATCGTGTTATCATCTTTCATCATGTTTCATCAGCTTACTTCAGATCCTGCCCCAACCCACGAATAGTGACCACAAGGGATAACGATCATTATATTGGGACCCCTACATATTCCTACAATACCCTAGACCCGAACCCCCCGAACCCATTACTAGGGGCCAAGGTCCAAGGTTTAGTTTATAGGGTTGTATAGGGTTGTCTAGCAACCCCAGTTCTATCTATATCTATATCTATATATAGATATATATATATATAAATACATAATCCCATCATGTTGTTGGGGGACGTGAGTCACTGGACCCAAAGGCTTCAGAGCTTCAGGTTTCTGGTGTGGGGTCTTGCGATCGGGGGTTTTATAAGATTTGCAAACCAAGCCCGAACCCTGTACCCCCAACTGAGCCCCTAAGCCCTAAACATTAACTAAGCCTTGAAGCCTGCACCCAAATAAAAGGGCTCATGAGCTAGGGGTTTTAGTTTAGGGTTCAGGCTTCCAACTTTAAAGCTCTAAGCTAATGCTCACCCCTCTTCAAACTGGCGCCTGGCCTTGCCAGACCCCCCACAAAGCGCGAAAGGACCCTAAAAAGGGCATTCTCAGGGTCTGGTTTGGGGGTTAGGGCTTGGGGCATAGGTTTCCAAGAGCACTTCTGCTTAAATTGGCTTTATGCCGCGAATCTAGTCAGAGGCCCAACCATGTAAAGCACTACAGGCCCCCTTTTCCATGTCTTGCTCCATGCTGTTTTCCCTGTAATTCTCCATGTTTTGGCTGCAACCCATGTGCTACAAACTCTAAGCCCTAAATCCTAAACCCTCAACCTTAAACCCTGAATCCCTAAATCTCAGAAAACCCTTGGGATCCACGTTCATGGAAACCGCACGTGAAGTCCTGATTGATGAGCTCTAGCCTGGTTTCCGGGCTGGGGGTTCCGAGGGTATTAGGGCTTCGGGTGTTAGGGGTTTAGGGTTAGGGTGTTAGGGGTTTAGGGTCTGGGTTGTAGGGTTTAAGGTTTAGGGTCTTTTGGGTGTTTAGGGATAGCGTTTTGACTCCTTACCTTCTGCTAAAGCAGCTCTGTCAGGCTTTTGTCAACAAGCTCTGGACTGTCGGCTGTTCTCTTGGGAATCCCACCCTGCATCCCAGACCCTGTTTATAGTTCCTTTTGTGGGTATGTTATGATTTTTTAGGGAACGGGTCATAATATACTGCCCAAAAAGGAACTTAGGGTCTGGGTAGACACTTGGTTATTTCGCGTCTTTCTCACTGTCGTATATGCGCACTAGAGCCCAGCAAAAACAGGACCCTGCCGTTTTCGGTGACTTTGGCGTTGTTTGTGTTGCTTGCGTTGGCCACCTGGACCCTAGATCCAAAACCCTAAACCTTCAAACCTAATTTCAAGCCCCAAATCCTCAACCCTCCGAAGCCCACTCCAACGCTTAACCTTTGATACCTCAGTGCCCGACACAGCTTCCATGCCTCTAGCCGCCACCAGGCGCCTGTGGGCTCCACATGGAGATAGCTATCAACTAGGTACACTTTGCAGTAAGGCAATCCGGCAGGAGTCTTCCAAAACAGGGTTTTAGGGCTTGAGGGCTTCTCACGTGATGCACCCCTGGACCATCAACTCTGGTTCTGGACAACTTCGCTTAGACTCGCCTTTTCTGCAGCTGGAAGAGCGCGAGCGTCACAGCCTCGTTGTCAGTCGAGTTTATTTGCATGCGACGCTGTTGGATTGAGGAGTGAAGGCTTCCGTTCTACTTAGTTGGAAAGCTTCTGCCCAGCTTTAGCATGCAAAAAATCGGGAGAGGCCTTCGGAAAATGGAGGGGTGCCTCTGTTGCGGGGCATCCTCAATATGCCATAACCCCTATATGCTTTAGCATACCTTTTTTGGACCCACTAAGTGCCTTCAAAAGTGCATGTTGTACATCAACCTCGACAGAGCTCACACCAGATCGCCGGCGCCCAGCAAAGCCCTCATCCCCAAACCCCTACTTCCAAATGGGCTATAGTCTAAACTCCTAGTATTCCCCTTAATCACCCCTATGGCATTGCTTATATAATCCCCTTAACCTCAAATGAGCTGTACCCTGTCTGGTACTGCCTTGATTACTGTTTTCATTAGTAGTACTGCTCCTGTTCCTATCGCTGTTGCTGGGGCTCAGGGTTTACATCTTGGGGGTCACACAAACATGGGGTGCCAATATCAACCTCAACATCGAACAATCCTTCTTCTGGGGGCTCCCCTACAACGAGGGTTCCTCAATTTCTGGAAACACACGCAAATCTCCATCGCTCCAACCTACAGCCCGATCCCTGAAAGCCAGATGGCAGAACCATGGCAGCCCGATTGCAATCCCCGATAAGACAATGATCTTCGAAGTCTCTTCCAAGCCCTACCCCTGACCCCAACGCCCTGAACCCTGCAAACACCCTACTATCAGCGAGCTCCGTGCCAGCACCCCGCGCAGGCCGGCTTCTAAGAAGATATCCATTGCCTGCGGATTGGCCACGGAAGCGGCAGCGGCAACAGAACCATGAGCGCTATGCAAACAGAAGCTGGTGCAGTCGCCAAACTAGCTACCGGTAACCACCAATATCACTTTGAAGTTTATTTGAGGCACCATGCTTTTACAAGGAATCTCAGATCAGAATGTTGGTGATTATTTGAGCTTCTACATAGTGATATCATGCACCACGACGACGGCAGCGGTGGTGGTACTGAGAATGGCCATAAGGAATCACAATCCATGGGCTCCCTCAACCTTAGCCCCCCTGTACTACTGCACCGTTCCAAATTGCCCCTTATGTAAACTCATTTGAGGTATAGTCTAAACTCCTAGTATCCCCCAAAGACTCCCCTATATAATCCCCTATATAACCTACTTAAGGGTAGCATGAATATAGACAATGGGAGACACTGGCAGAAGTCATCATCATTGCAAGAAGACCATGCGTATGAGGGAGCCCTGCATATGAAACCTCAAAATGAGGTGTTTCCAATTACTAGGGATCCCTTTAGTAATTTGGTGTATATAATGGGTGTATATCTGAAAGCTCAACACGAGAACTTTCCCAAATAGGGTGACCATGCAGAACCGAAGATGCACAAACGCAGGAGGACTTCCACCCCCGCCCCCCCCCAAGCGCGGCATCGCTGTTCCCAGGAACCTCCAACATGTGGGATCCAGTTCTTTGCAATCTAGGAATCGCCCTGTGGATACCCTAAACCTTGGGTACTGCCCCCCCCCAGTAACAGGCTATATTAGGGGTCCTATTGAGGGCTATATATAACCATAGTATAATTCTTTTCCAACTGTTACTGAGGGGGGGGCAGTACCCAACCTAAACCCTAAACCCTCGGAATGAATCGTGCGAAGGTGTGGCGGGCAGTTGCTGCTGCCGCGGGGGCTGCGGCCAGCACATATTTTGTGTCTCTCTGCAGGACTCTTTATACTTACTCTTGGTTTGGTCAAGGAATTTAATATATGGGGATTTAGGCATTTAGGGATCCTTGTTCTGTACAAACCACCTGCAAGTCCATCTGGAAACTTGAGGAACTCTTGATCAGGCTCCTGAAGGTCCTCACTCTGACTCAGCAAGTACAGGCCAAACACATTCAAAATGTTGCTGATGAT